AAGGTTGATTTGCGTATGACCAAGATCTAGCATTCGGTTTGCCCGAATGACCTCCGTGGTGTAAGGATGAGGTAGAAACATGGTTGCTCCCATGATTCCAGGCGTTTTGGCCAGTCTGAAAGTTCACTTCACCCGTTATCGGATGGATGTGAGCCTTGGATCTACCTTCTGCATAGGGATTTTCGTCCGCAAACCGTGGTTGGAAATCGCCTAGACGTTCTGTCTCGAGTCTAGCGTCTCGTTCGATTGTCTCATCTCTGATTGCCGGGTTAGCGAGCTTCCCATCGGGATTCCGGAAGGTCATCACGGAGGTTCGGACAGCCTGGTTGTATCGAAACGCCATAGGCCAGGACATTCGTTCGGCACGTATTGCAAACACGTTTTGCTTGTGAATCACAAATTTATCCGCCGTCGTCCCATGTCCATAGTACCTCAAGTACGCCACAAAGAGGTCGAAGGCTGTAACCCATTCCCCAAAGGTCATTCTCCACTCGTCGGGAACTGGTAAGCCATTATAACGACTTTCATCCTTATTCTTCTTTGTAGTTACACCATTCGACTGATGAATCAATGCTTGCTTTAACCACATCACGTTGAAGATCGACAGCGGAACATAGCCTTTCATTGCCTCCATTTTATCTTCGAAATACTTCGACAGTCCAACCAAACCACTCGTCTGAATTCCAGCTTCACCCACCTCAACTTTCTTCTTTTTCACCACATCATCCTTGGTCAGGTCTACCCACGTCTTTTCTTTTTGCACTACGGTTGTGCTCTTGTCAACAATTGCTTGGGTTGGAGTCTTCGACGTAGCGTGTGTAGGTGCCGAGGCTTTCTCTTTGTGGGCCAGAGCTGAACTAACATTTTGTGTCGCAGAGGTCAAAACACCGGAGTCATTTACTACCGTAAGGCCGTTGGCCTTCAACCATGAATGAAAGCCTCTAGGGGGGCTCTTGCCTATTGCCGACGTCGTGTTCCGTCTCGTCGGAGAGCGTGCTGGAAGGAGCAGAGGAGGTCGCGACTTATTTAGTAACTTGGACATGTACACTCTAACTGAGGCTTCACAATACGTGGCATCACTATGTGGAATCACATCAAACATTGCTATGCGGCATCACATGGCGTGGGACAACTATGGACACGACAGCTTACAGTGAGGCTCATTATTCACTTCATCTCTTGAAATCAGACCTCCGGAATGCAAAACCGACGTTCCTGATCTTTTGTTTCCATTCACTTCGGAACTGGTTATGTCCAGATCTGGTGCTGGTGGTGCTAGTGCGTCATTGGTATCTTTTGGGGCGGTTAAGGTAACTACCGGGGTCGTATCTGCAGGTCGATCCACTTGTGCATCTGATCTTCCAGGGCTAGCCGCTGTGCGGCCACCACGTCCTCGACTTTTACCTCGCAGGTTTCTTGCTACCGCTTGTGGCACCACGGGGTCTGAGTCTGGTGGGGGGACTGAACCGCCTCTCAACCGACTACTGGATCTCTTCATCATTTCTCTAAAATTTTCCGTATTTGTTGATTTCTTGTTGTTCGCCATTTTGTTCTAAGACTTGCAAGAATTAAGATGTATGATAAGGATTTCGAAAAGATAGATCTGAGCTAACAAGCTCAGTTCGAGAGAGAGAGAGAGAAGTGATGATTTCCCCGAGGCTGCGTGGGATAGTAGGGGATGGGGGACGTGGTGTGCAGAGGAATCTAAACTTAGATGAATATTTTCATTTAGTTAGTTTCCTATCCACGTCTGGAAAGGGTCCCCGACCCGGGACCTTCCAGTTGCCCCCAGACCCGATATCGCCCCGTGTCGTGGAAAATGACGGTACCGTCGTGCCTTTGGGTACCGTCTGCCAGTAGTTGATTCTATGCATAATCTTCTACTTGGACTTCTGGCATGGCATGTTCGAAGGTTCTGGGCAATGAAGGACAAGGATAATGTTGATGAAGGTTTAGATCCAATCACAAATGTGGAGCTCCAAAATCTTTTTAATGAACATGCTGAGGCACAAAATATTCAAGGAAGCGCTTCAAAAGAAAGACAAGATGATCCCAAGATTGATTCAAATGATCAAGATGAAGATGAAGATGGTTTTAAAATTGGTGACACTTCTTTTGGAAATGAGACATCTCCAAGTGACAAGGACTACAATCCTCTTGATGATTCAGGGTGGAATGGGAAATGGCAGGCTCCGCCTTTTGAAGACATAATTTTTGATGCTGGAATGCTTTCACAGATAAATTCTCGACTTAAACATATTCATATCCCTAGTTGGATCAAGCGTGCGCTGCCGGTCCTGGGAGAAGCTTCCTTTGGAAAGCTTAAGGCGGATGAATGGAGAAATCTTTTCTCCATTCAATTGCCGCTAATCCTTGTTCCACTATGGGCTGACCAAGATCATGTGAAAACATCTCTCCTCAAAAACTTTATGCACCTAGTTTCACTTGTCAACCTTGCTCTCAAACGCAAAATGACGCCTGAGCACATCAGAAGCTATGAACAACATATTCAAACATACCTCGAAGGCTGTATTGAATTATTCAAACATTGTGGTTTGGCTCCAAACCATCACATGGCTCTCCACATGACTGAATTACTGGAAGATTTTGGTCCTGTGCGGACTTGGTGGTCTTTTGTTTTTGAAAGATTGAAGGGAAGCATTTTAAAAAGCTGCCATAACAATCACACAAGTCAGTAGTTCTCTTTTGTTCTAAACAAAAGAATAATCACTTAGCAGAATTTTTGGTTGAATTAGGCGAGCTCCCAATAACTTTTATCAAGAACTTTTCTCGAGCTGGGAATCTTGCAGCGCTCTTGGAGAATGAAAAAGTACCTGACGCCCTTAAGCCGTATCTTTCTAGGTTACGTGCCGTGTACAAACCCATCAAACGTGTTCCCAAACGGCTCTCAAACTCAAACATGCAACCCATCAGAACGGACATGCTCAAGAAGTTAGCAACTCGCTTGAACAATGAAGAACAAGAAATATGCCAATGGATGATACCGGATGAGTTGTGTTTGCTTTCAGAGGAAGATGCACTAGCATATGAACCGCTGCCGCCACAAGCGTTTTTCTACAAGCGGATGATGCATCATGACATCTCGTACTCAACCTTTAGCGCAAGTCAGAATGACAGCTTCATCGAGTTCAAAATGAGTCGTACTGGTGTCCGAAGTTATGGGTGAATGTTTTCAATTTTCATCCATCGCCGATCTCCAACTTGGTCAGAAAACTTATTTGATACCTGGCTTCATGTTCAAAGTTTCCCCCAAATACCTACATCTCTAGAAAAATTCAATCCTTTTCGACACACAGAAGGTTTTCACACTCAAGCTTGTTTACGCGCATGGGGGCCAACAGAAGACTACATTGTCAAATTAGATGAGGTGGTTGCACATTGTTCATGGTTGATGTTCAAACCTGGTGAACTTAACTTGAATTTGAAAATTCATACTGTGGGCTTGGTTTCTATGGCCAGATAGATTCCTAAAAAAACAGAAGCCTTGTACAGATGATTATATGTATCTACAATTAAATGGCTTAGAAATCAAGGAAAAAAACGAGAGTAACATTCAAAGAGAATCCAAAGTTTTGACGATTTCAGGTAAACAAAGCTCAGGTTTGACTCCCAACATTGTTTGACCGCTTGAGCCGAGACGTTCGAGAAAAGCTGGTGAGTAGCAGTCTTTGCATAGTCCTTCAGGTGTCTCAATCAGACTCTCTGGTGCGTCATTACGACAAATACAAGGGCGAGATGGTCGTCCACGCCGTGGCGAATCTGTATTTTGAGGGACACTTTTATCTTGCCTCATCTTCTGCGCGTCCAGTCAAATCACAATCTTTTCAAGTGCTGTGCTACGCCAAGTAAGCCTACAAGCACAGATCGGACCCTTAGCAGGGGTACCAATCTGGCCGTCTTCTACATCCGTTTCATCGTTGCTACAGGCTACCTTAATGACTGATAAAAGAGGCCAAAGCCTTTTTTTGTCAAGAGCAATCTTGGTCCGCATTGCTCTTAACTGCGAGTTCAAGTGCAAATCACATTAAGCCACCTCTGTTATCCTTTCACAAACAAATCAAAAATATACTTACACGGCATATTCTTGTTGCACGTCTTACATTTTTAGCTACGCACGCCTTTCGCTCGTCATCCCACGTCTGCTGACAATATCTGAAGACCAATAAATAATATATTTATCAGTATATATTGCTTCCTCGAGTCTAAAGATATAGAAATGTCTCACCTTTTCATCAGAGTCTGTATATGTGAAGAGAAACACTTCTTTATGTACGAAGTGTTGTCCTCATCTAAGGATATCCCAGTGTACACTCCAAACTCAACTAGTTTGAAAAAAATTCTTTGGGAAAGATCCCACAAACGTCTATTGTTTCTGGACGTTGGCGACTGTCCCAAGTTTGGGCAAAAGGATTTGACTCGAGCTGCTTTCATCAGCTCCCACGTGACTGATAGTTGTTGAGGAGAGGCTTCTCGATGACCAGGGCCATTCGGATATGGGAAACAAGGATCTGATTCAGGGTCATTGTTTGCACGCTCGGATGGCTGGGATAGGTTGATAGCAATGTCGTCCAAATCCTGTTCGCAATTCCATTCCTCCTGCTCTTCAATAGTTGCTGGGGGTGGGAGTGGTTCGCAGTCTGACTTCAGACCAAACATCATTTCAAGATGGAAACGGATGCTTGCCTAGCATGCGCAGGAGTAGATTAGTTCAACTCTGATCTAACAGGTGAAAAAGAAAAAACACCTACAGCCGTACGTCCTGACTGTCATTATTCTCCTGGACTGCGATTACCCAGAGATTTCATGAAAGCATCTGACAAGCTCTTCAGTTCGCATTCAAGTTTTTCGATCCTTTTGTTTGCCTTGACCAGTGAGGCTCTGGTCTCTGTCCATAACTTTGTGAGCTCCTTGTTAGACAGCGACGTTTCTGAAAGAGAAGCAAACAGTACAAGCCAATCACCATCATGACAGTTAAAATTTAATGGAAGATAGGAGCCCACCGCAGCCTGTGGCCTCGTCTTCAGACAGCACCATTCCAGTTTGCAGACCTCGTGATGTGTCACTTTGATGAGTCTGCTCAAACGCAGAATCTTGATGATCAAATCCTTCATCATCTTCAGGGAAGTATTCGCTTTCAGAATCCCTAGATTCCTTTTCTTTTCCCTTCCTTGACTTTGACTGCACCGATTGAGATTCTGACAAGTCTGTTGGTCGGGGTCGAGGGTACAGAAGGGTTCCGTGTTGCAAACTCGGTAAAGGATTCTGCAAAGGCGCATCATCGTGTCTCCCGTACCTTGATCCCCCTACCAAAGTATGTCACGCTGGTCAGAAACACATACATACATGATAATTAAATGCCGGTTAAACAAAATCTTACATTCAACGAATTCTTTTGATGTTGTTGAAAAGGTGAAACTCCCTTGTGTGGCATCCGGTTCCTTTTGAGCTGTTGATGACGATGCTACCGGTTGTTCTGGTTCAGTTGTAGGGAGTATGACTAGAATTTCAATACGAGTCAGTATTTTGCAATCAAGTACATACAGTCAAGCCAACAGGAATACTTCAGACGTACTCAATTCTTGATAATTTGTACAGCATTCGACCATTTTGGATTTGTCCATCTTGAAGGTATTGACACCCACGTCATGCAACATTTTTTCCAAATCCTTGTTACTATATATTTGAAAGTCGATTTCATTTGTATCTGTGGTTTCAGCATCTTCGGGTATTGAAATAGTCAGACTTTTGGCTCGAACAGGAGCCACATCTGTATTTGAATCAGTGACTTTGGGCAGAGTGATTTCGGGCAGGGTGATTTCGGGCGCTTTAGTTGAACGTCTTCCTTTCTTTTTTGAGATACGGTTTTCAAGGAGCTCTAGCAGACGGTTCCGGGAGGTTTTTGGTCCAGCCGCAATAGTGACCTCTGCGATGGTGCCTGTCGTATGATCGGAGGTTTTGGGTCCAGCCGCAATAGCAACCTTTTCGATGGCGCCTGTCGTACGATATTTTACCAAAGCCAAGTTCAGAGAGAAATCAGCTTTCAACGCGTGGTAACCTGGAGTTTTGTTCCCAATCCTACCTTTTCTGTCAGATATTGCTATTTTTTTCTTCTTTTTTGAAGGTTTGAAGGTATTAACTTCATCTTCAGCCTCAGCCACGACTGTTTGTTTACGTTTACATCTGGTGCTAGGAGGCTCTGTTAGAGGAGTGCTTTTTGTTGAAGAAAGCCGCGGACGGAGACGGGATCCCTTTGGTGGCATGATTGATTGATATTAAGAATGGAGAAATTCGAAAGCAGAGAATTAACTCAAAAGTAGCAAAAACAAAAGATACGGAAGAGAGAAAGTACGGTGAATCTCAAACGTAAATTTAAAAGATAGAACAGTTCTAAGCAAGCAAGCAAGCACGGAAAGATTGGATGTTGTTGTTCTTATATAACATCTTAGAGCAGTTAGCACCTGAATTGATGAATATATCCACACTCCATTGAAGAGTCGAGGTAGTTGGAATAGATAGCTGATCTGCGCCTGATCCCTGAAAACTGATCACTTGACCACCCTTGACTACAGTTGCTGGCGGGTTGTTTCTGAATACTTCGCCCAAATGATAGTCATCCCAAAGGTTGGGGAACGTGGAGGAAAGAGTCTTGTCCTGTTCTGAACCAAAGCACTCTCAATCGTTTGACTTTGGTAATCTGATTTCGGTAATAAGGGTTGTTTCTGAATGGTTCGCCTAAATATATTAGTCATCCCAAAGGTTGGGGAACGGGAGGAAAGAGACACATA